TTTTAATTTTCGAATATTCTCTAATGCCATAAGAACACTCTTCGAATCAGAGAAAATTGTGAATCTGAGTAAGTCAGACTTAATTATTAGGTTTAAGGCAGATAAAATTGCAGCTGCTTCTGCTGTGAAAATGGAAGAAACATCGAATAGCTTGGAACCTTTAATAAAATCATCATTGGGGCTCCAATTAGCGAAGCCGACGAAAGATTTTTCGTTAATATTCGTTTTGGATCCATCAGTGAAAATTGAGGTGCGATTATTTAACTTATCACCGAACACTTGTAAAAATGCTAAATTCATATTGTTATTTTCATTAATTAACATTCCGCTGCTGAGGTCCACTTTAATCTGATTGCAGCAATTTTTATAGTCCAGCTGATAGAACTTAGGAATTTGAGATTTGAAAATGAACTTCCCATATGAGTTAACTATTTCGAAAGAACTAACTAATGTAGATTTAGAAAAGTTATTCTCATATACGAAATTCAAATAGTTCGCTAATACTTTCCAAGACTCCATTTAATTGATTATGTTGTTTAGCAATGCTCCCGATTAGAAATTTACAATTAGATAGTTTAAATCTACTCCCCAGCGATAGTATTTTTGTTTCGCTATAGATGATGTTTATTGGAGTGGAGTTCCTGTATCCCATAGCCAGCCTGAGGCATTTTAGTTGAATCGTTTCTATTTTGTAGAATAAGTCGAATTTACATGGAGACATTAGAAATCCGCCATATTCAATTCTAGATCTTATCAAAGAGTTGTACATTGTAATCATGGTGGAAGGGTCGGCCCCCCACCATGTGCCTCTGATACAACAGAGGATACGAATAGGAATTTCGCATTTTCTTAAAATATATTCCACGTGAGCATTCCAGTTAAGGCGTCTGTCTAGAACCATTCCGAGAAATTTAACAGATGGTGATGGATATATGATTGATTCCTCTATTTTTATGTGGAAATTATTTAGTTTTAAGTTAGATTTGTTGAAAGTCAATAATTTGCATTTATCTGGAGCAAGTTGTAATTTTCTCCTATAAAGGGTTGTGGATAAAGTTTTGATTTGTTGTTCTAAATTTGCAAGATTAGTCCCGATATGAGTAACGGTAGAGAACAACGCTATATCATCGGCGAACTTCAAAATCTTAACATCGGGCGCAATTATATCTTCCACCTTATTAATATATATTGAGAATAATATAGGACTTAGAATGCTGCCCTGAGGTAATCCCTTAAAAGTGGGGCGAACAATATTTCCAAGACAATTAACGAATTGTATGTATCTTATCGAGATTAGATTATAAATAAATAAAATAAAATTTTTGGGTAGCTTTAACTCTATGAGATCCCTAATCAAAATTTCTGGATCCACATTGTCGTAAGCGCCCTTGATATCCAAGAACACTGCCGTCAAATGATTTTTTAGATAAAATTGCTTATTCGTCTCAGCAATAAGAAAAGCGAGACTGTCAATACAAGACCTACTCATTCTGAAGTCGAAATGGGAATTATTCAATAACTCGTTATGTTCACTCCACCAAGTTAGTCTTTCATTAATCATCTTCTCAAGGAGCTTCAAAAAACATGACGATATGCTTATTGGTCTAACCTTATTGTTATTTGATTTAGGAATAAATAAACAGAGGTAGTTGCGCCATGCTTCAGGAAACTCGCCCATAAACACAATGTCGTTATAGATATCCAAAATCGTTCTTTTAACAAATTCTGGAAGTTTATTGATTATGAAAAAATTTATTCCATCTGGGCCAGGGGCAGATTTCTTGTTGACATTTCCTAAAGCAACAGATAACTCTGAGTACTCAAAAGGTAGCTCCAGGGGATGATCATTCTGGGGAAGTTGTTCAAATGTAGGTCTAATACAAGTAGTTCCAGGAGAACACGGTTCATCTATACATTTGTGCATAGAGTCTATAAAAGATTGGTTACCCTCGTAAGAACCAGGTTTCAAGAACTTATTATTGAAACGCTTAATTTTATTAAATACATAACTAGAACTACTATTCTTGTTGAGAGTCTCACAGAATTTTTGGAATGCCTTTTTTTTCAGTTTTCAGAAGGATTTTAGTCTGAGCCTCTAATTTTTTGTATTCCAAAAATTCTATCCTAGTAAATTTATGTTGGAGAGATAACCATTTAGCCTTTCTAATTCTTACTGCTTTTTCGCAACTCTCATTCCACCATATAGCAGGGAATTTATTCTTATGCCTATGATTACTGGTGTTCGTTGTCATCATTTTTCTTTTTTTTATTAGTTTTATATAATAATGAGGATTCTAACGATTCGTTAATTAGGTCGATGACAAAGGTATATCTGTCACAACGAGTTAAGAAATTCCAGCGAGTTAAAACTGTTATTCTTACTATCCCAGAATTCGTCAAACCTACCCCAGTCAATCATTCCTGAATTAATTCTGTTATGATTTCTCGGAATGTATTCCACAGCGACATCCACCTGAATAGATACCGGGTAGTGATCACTACGTCAATTATCCTGTTCCACAGACCACTCACAGGACAATGCGATGTTTGCTGATGCAAAGGTCAAATCAATGCACGAACTAGAATATCTTGGTTCAGACACATGAGTACTTCTGCCATTGTTTAATATAATAAATTGATCAGAATCTGTGAAATTATAAAGTATTACCATTTTGGCAGTTGTGATCACTACCCCATGCTCTATGGTGGGCATTAAAGTCACCACATATCAAAAATTTATCACTTTTCTCCTTAACAGCTTTTAAGAAAAATTGCCATTCGATGGAAGTGATATTATTAGAGGGAGTTCTGTAACATGCTATGATGTTTAAAATGCCCTTGGATGTGGAAATAGAGATAGTGCCGACTTCTAAGGCGACTGGATTAAAATTCAGCTGAATGATGTCAATAATCAGATTTTTTTTAACAAGGATGGCAATTCCTCCCCCATTATTGAATAGTCTGTCAAAACGAACAATTTCAAAACCGATTATGTGAAAGTTAGGTAGTTCAGGTTTTAAAAAAGTCTCTATTAGAATGATAATATCCCATCGACTGGCAAATCTTTCTAATTCATAGATCTTGCCTCTTATACCTCTACAGTTCCACTGGAGAACTCTAAGATTTATTGACTTATTCATATTTAATAAATTAAATATAGGTGTAGTAAAAAGAAATCCATTATTTTTCCAATAGATGGCTTTAGTAATCTGTATCTCGCGTTGTATAAGTGCGATCGGGTTACGCTAAATGGCGTTAGAAAAATAAGATTTTGTACTAAAAAAAACTTCTCAGACAGTTTTGTGATTGCTTGACTCAGTATTGTTTGAGTGCGCGTCAAAGATGGACACCAGCAAAGAGAAAATACGCCATATTTTACAGTTTTTCTTCGATAAAGGCGAAAACGCAAGCCAGGCGGCTGAAAATGT